AAAAAGTTAGTCCCCGGAGAGATAGAGACAGGAAAGAGCTTCCACACCTCTACGTATGAGACGAGGACAGAAAGCATAGAAGATAACAGCAAAAACAAGACAAAAGACAACCGTAAAATAAAAAAAGCTTAAAGAGCAGAAGTTATCCATTAAATATCCATGTGTGTGGAAATCAAAAGCTATATGATTGCATAATAATATTCAGGTTGTTTATATTGGTGGGTGGAGCTTATCATTTAGTATTAGTGTGTATCTGTGAATACATGGTCGCCTGTGTATCTGTGAATACATGGACGCATGGACATGCGTATATAACTGTATGCATGTCCATATACGCATGGACATTCTCGTGTATTAAGGCTTCTTCAGAAGGAAAATACTTCATAGCATGCTTAATAGGAGGTGTGGGTGACCCCACACTTGCTCTACACGACCTTAGATTTCAAAGATGCAACGCCACCCCGAGTTAACCAAAGGCAGCTCAGATCACTGGGACACAGGGAGTGCAGACATTTGAATTGCCGTTCCCACCAGAGAAGGGAAGATAAGAGCACTCAGAGTCCAACCGCCAAGGGCCCAGATCCCAAAGAGGTTCAGTCCCAGACAAAATAGTGTAGATGTCCCTTGGGACAATGGCAGTGAGTCCATGGGCTATGCCGTTGGCTGATCATGTCCATGAGGACTTGGAGGAGAGCCCAGGAAACCGAGGCCCGGGGCCGCACCACCCACTAGTTGGAACCCCACAGGGCCAGGAGGCCTAGGCCTGGCCCGACAGTCACCAGGAATGAGAGTGCCCACCAAAATACATGTCAACAATGGGTAGTGAGGTTGCTTTAGGACCCAGATGCAGAGAAGAGTGAAGCAGAGATGTGTTCTGACAGATTTAATTGAAGAACACAGGTAACAGAGGCAGCAATCCAGAAATCCAACCCCAAATGCTAAACAAACCAAAAACCATGGAGACATCAGGAGAAAAAATGAGCATGAGGTGTCATGATGGGAATAGATGTCTAACCCATATGAAGAAACACACGGAGGTTAGGAGAAAGTTCAAAAGGTTTATTCACAAAGGTATAAATAAAATGTTAACAGGAACTTGGGTGGTCAGACTGGTCACGGCTGGATCTCCACTGAGGAGGACAGAGAGGTTAGAGGAGTTCCAGGTAAACTGCTGTTTATCAGATGATGGGGGAATACCTGCTTAGAAGTGGAACTGATCAGCAGGGAGGGAAACTTGAGGGTCCAGAGGCTAGTAGGCAGGCAGAGGGCTGAGGGCTAGCAGAGATTGAACTGAGTGCAGGCAGGCGGAGAACTGAGAGCTTGGCAGAGGCAAACTGAGCGCAGGCAGGCAGATTCCAGGTTGAGGTCTCTCTCTTCAGTGTTTCAGGTTTCCAGGCAAGTCAGGTTCTGAGAGACAGGGAGAAAACAGGGTCAGACAGGTTCACAAGAATCAGGCAAGATCTGATAGATTGTCTCAGGTTTTGTTGGTACCGTTACTGGCAAACACTGGCACTGGAGTGTCAGTCTCCTCCTCCTTAAGTAGGAGTCCTCTTGATGAGCAGATGGAAGACAGGTGTTGCAGGTGAGCACAAGCCCTCACGAAGGGATCCTTGGCACCCTGTGGTGGGCAAGCCTCCGGATCCCAACATGAGGAGCCAGGGACAGACGACTGAGAAGACAACTTTAACGACAAGGAACCAAAAAACAAGTCCAAAGGAATCCAAAAAAAAAAAGACAAACAAAAAAAAACTATCCACCAAAGGTTGGCGAGGGAAACCAAAAGTCTCTGGAGTTCGGCCATGGCCGGAGGCGAGGCAGAGTCTCTGGAGGCTGGCCGTGGGGCCGGCGGCAAGGAAAAGTCTCTGGAGGGTGGCCTTGGGGCTGCCGGCGAGGCAGAGTCTCTGGAGGGCAGCGGTGGGGCCAGCGGCGAGGCAGAGTCTCTTGAGGCCGGCCGTGGGGCCGGCGACAAAGGAGGGCCTCTGGAGGAGGCCGGCGACGAAGGAGGGCCTCTGGAGGAGGCCGACGACGCCGTCTCTGGTGCAGCAGCAGCTTTCGTGGATGCCGTCTCTGGTGCAGCAGCAGCCTTGGGGGACGCCCTCTCTGGTGCAGCAGCAGCCTTGGTGGACACCGTCTCTGGTGCAACAGGAACCTTGCGGACCCCCAACAGCAGCACTGGAACAACTTCAGAGGGGGCTGCCGACTGCAGCAGCACTGGAGCAACCTCGGGGGGGGGGGGCAGTTGAGGAGTTCCCGCAGAGGGGCCTTGGTGGCTTGGAGCGCCTGCTGAGGGGCTTTGGAGGCTTGGGGTGCCCGCTGAGGGGCCTTGGAGCTGAACTCTCACCAAGCTTAAAATCTGAGACCATTTTATTAGTGTGCTCAGGGGTCTCTGGACGGCACAGAGCAGGCTCAGGAGTCTCTGGACAGCACAGAGCTTGCTGGCAAAGAGGTTCAGTCTGAGGAGGAGTGCTGAGTGGGTCTGTCTAAGGATGGGTCCTGAATGAATCTGCATGACAGCTAAGTAAATCTGCCTGACAGCCTAGTGAATCTGCCTGACAGCCTAGTGAATCTGCCTGAGGAGTGGGGATGCTAATAGGTTCTAGTTCAGGCACTGGCATGCTAGGTGGTTGTGGCATTAGGGAAACTGGCCTGCTAATGGGCTTTGGCGCAAGGGAAACTGGCCCGCTAATGGGCTCTGGCGATACGGAAACTGGTCCGCTAATGGGCTCTGACGTTAGGGGATCTGAACCGCTAAAGGGCTCTGACACTAGGGGCTCTTGAACTAGGGGATCTGGCCCGCTAAAGGGCTCTGACGCTAGGGGATCTGGCTGGCTAGAAGCTGATGGAGGTGGCAGGAAAGGGTAAAGATCTTCCCTCTCCCGATAAAAGAAGCCCCATAATTGAGACTCCTCAAGATGGTGAGGTCTGACTGCAGGGGGTGTAATAATGGCTACTGGTCTGAGCCTTCAAACCGGTGAAGCTAGCTGCTGGTCATGGAGGTGCCGACTGAGATGACTGACCTGTTTAGGAGGTTTTTTTTAATGCTAGCAGCTGCATGACCCATGGGAATGGAGCTGTAAGGCTGATCCGCCCGATGGGGAGTGGTAGCATCAGGCTGACCTGCTGGAGGGGGAGTGGTCTTCTTCCCCCAGCGGCACTTACGCTTGCAGGAAGCATATGGCAGGGGAGAAACTGTAGAGGCTGAGGGAGAAGTGAAAGGAACTGATGGAGAGGTTGAGCAGGCAGCCGCTGCACGTTATTTTGGTCGAGGAGTAGGAGGTTTATTAAAAAGCTGAGCAAAAGCGGCCTTGTGGTTCCACTCCACCTCTTCTAAAATGTCCAGAAACCCTAGGGATGAGAGGAGAGTAGTTTTGGGGGTTAAAATCTTTTGGAGATTGGCAGCAGCACATACCCGTCTCCAAGGTGGGCTGAGAGTGGCAATCTTATCCAGAGTGATCCGACAGTTCTTCAGAAAGTCTGTCATGCTTCCTGAGAAGATTCAGAGATGAGTGAAGCAGAGATGAGTTCTAACAGATTTAATTGAAGAACACAGTTAACAGGGGCAGAAATCCAACTTAAAATGTTAAACAAACCAAAAACCATGGAGACATCAGGGAAAAAAACGAGCATGAGGAGCCAGGGAGAGATGAGCTGAGAAGACAACTTCAGCAACGGAACCAGCACTGAGCGACTGCAGAGGTTGAGTATTTAAGGAGAACAGAACAAAGGATTAACTAATTAGCTGAATAAGGAGCAGGTGTGGGTGGAACTGGCAAGAAGGAATCTAAGGGGGAAAAAAAGAAGCACAACAGGGCAACAGAGAGAAACTAAAGAATATTTGAATATAACGGAAAATAAATCAAAGAACAAAACAGAACAACTGATAACAAGAAAACTGGAAACTCAGAGTTACAATAAATGGGAAGAACCATGAAAATACACAATCCTGTACCTAGAGAACCATCAGCACACCAGCAAAAACCAAAAACAGGCACCTGTTATCTGCAGGGAGCGAAACAAGGGGGTGGACCCTTCTTATGCTAGCCCTGCACATACTTGGGGCCTATGATGTTCTAGTAGGGGAGGCAAACACTCAACCCATCGAGCAGAAAAAGACAAAGTCACGTTCATTGAGTCATATTCATATAATCCCACCCTTACACCCCTACGGAGATATATATCTGCATTAAACGAGATGCAGACGGGGAAGACACTAAACATGTCATCACATTCCTCATAAATACACTGTCCCCCTTAAGGGAATTTGGCCTCAGACCCAGGAAGAGATCCCCAGACCCCCAGTATGGGAAGTATGCTGATAGCTTGAGCTCCAAAGAAAAAAAAAAGAAAAAAAGGATCTGGGATCAGGCCCCACCAAAGAGAGAGGAACAGCATTGTAGCCCAGGTCTAGCCTCAAACACCACCCCAAACACTCCCCGGGAGACATTTCCCAAACGATGGCGGCCATAATCCCTCCACGACATCACCCCATAAATCGCAGATCTGCACCCACATATGCCCGAGCAGGTGGCGAACCCTCCAAGGAGCCCACACCTCCCCCAGTCAGTCACAGCCATGCCATTCCCCCACTTATGTATTCTTATAGCCATGGCGGCAGTCAAAACCCAGGCTGTCAATCCTCCTAGGCCAAGTACAAGGTGCCAGTCATTCTAGCCCAGGCACCAGACACCAGGCAGCCTCCCCTCACCCGACTCCAGACACAGGCCTCCTGAGGTGCATCCAGACGCACCAGAGGATTACATTTATATCCAGAAATGCGCTTTTAAAATGGTAAATGTCAAAGTTAAATCTCACAAACCTTAATTTTCTGTATATCACATAAAGGAAAATACCAAATGAGTTGTTTCTTTTCAGAGTCAGCTAGAGCCACCAGGCTACAGACCAGATAACGGTCTCATTTTACTTAGACAAAAAATACTAAAACAGTAACATTAATAATAATCAAAGAATTTATATTCATAGTTGAAAAATGGCAACTTTACCTGAAGAGTAATCACGCAGTTAGATCTAAACTAATTCAGCCATTTTGCTAAACCTGCCTCTTTGCTTCTCATGGTCACAAATGACTCTGTTTAAAATGGCTTCTTCTTAAAAAACAAATGCATATGAGCTCAGTGAGGGTTGGAGGGTGTTACTTCCTCACCATGACTTCACTCCATGTTCTTACTTATGTTGCTTCTTGAACATATTGACATATCATAATGGCTAAGGAGTCTTAACATAGTGTTTCATTTACTTTCAAAATCAATTTCTTTTACACTTAATACTTTTAAACTTTAGAAATATATATGAAAATCAAACACCTATTTTAAGAGATGTGTTCAAGTAAAGCAAAGGGACTTTCAGTGATGAAAAAGGTGTCAGTTTCCATTGCTAATCTAGATGAAAATAAAAAAAGAAGTACCAGAAGAAGTTGTAGTTCTGCTATTTTTATTCACACCCTCTAAAAGATAGTGCTCATAGCAACAGTGGTTTATCAGTTTGAATCCATAACAAATCAAATACAACATTTAAATAAAGATGCCCTTGAGGTTATGATTCACTGTTATGAACAAGTGAAAACATTAATCTTGTCTGCTGCTAGCTAAATTCTCACACTATTTGCAGTTTACCAACAAATGACAATACGTCTTTAACCACGCTAACTTAAATGTACGGTCCGGCCAACAAGAGGTCAGCCAATAACATTGAAGTATTATGGTTTAAGGCGGGACATAGAGCTGCTGAGCCCACAGAACCAAAATACACACAACAGTGCAGGAAGATAAATGCGTAGCTGCTGCTACCATATCTGTTTTTTTTTTTACTTCACCTTTTTTTTTTTTTTTTTTACAGTGTCCTGTCTGTCCATGTGGCAATAAGAATAATTGTCTTGATGAAAAGAAGAGAGCCTAACAGATTTTTCTTTCACAAGTGGAGCAGTCGGCTATCGCCATAGTGTTCCGCTTGATTTATGCATATAAATAGCTTTATTATAATTCATGCAGGGAGTATTACAGATTTTATGGATACTGCAATGTAAGTAGAACAGGTGATTTACAGGTGCTGGTCATAAAATTAGAATATCATGAAAAAGTAGATTGATTTCAGTAATTCCATTTAAAAAGTGAAACTTGTATATTATATTCATACATTACATACAAACTCATATATTTCAGATGTTTATTTTGTTTAATTTTGATGATTACAAATGACAACAAATGAAAATCTCAAATTCATCATATCAGAAAATTAGAATATTGTGAAAAGGTTCAAAATTGATGGCCCCTGGTGCCACACTCTAATCAGCTAATTAACTCAAACCACCTGCAAAAGCCTTTAAATTGTCTTTCAGTCTAGTTTTATAGGCTACACAATCATGGGGAAGACTGCTGACTTGACAGTTGTCCAAAAGACGACCATCGACACCTTGCACAAGGAGGGCAAGACACAAAAGGTCATCGCTAAAGAGGCTGGCTGTTCACAGAGCTCAGTGTCCAAGCACATTAATAGAGAGGCGAAGGGAAGGAAAAGATGTGGTCGAAAAAAGTGTACAAGCAAGAGAGATAACCGCACCCTGGAGAGGATTGTGAAACAAAACCCCTTCAAAAATGTGGGGGAGATTCACAAAGAGTGGACTGCAGCTGGAGTGAGTGCTTCAAGAACCACCACACACAGACGTATGAAAGACATGGGTTTCTGCTGTCGCATTCCTTGTGTCAAGCCACTCTTGAACCACAGACAGCGTCAGAAGCGTCTTGCCTGGGCTAAAGAGAAACAGGACTGGACTGCTGGTGAGTGGTCCAAAGTCATGTTCTCTGATGAAAGTAAATTTTGCATTTCCTTTGGAAATCAAGGTCCCAGAGTCTGGAGGAAAAGAAGAGAGGCACTTCATCCACGTTGCTTGAAGTCCAGTGTAAAGTTTCCACAGTCAGTGATGGTTTGGGGTGCCATGTCATCTGCTGGTGTTGGTCCATTGTGTTTTCTGAGGTCCAGGGTCAACGCAGCCACATACCAGGAAGTTTTAGAGCACTTCATGCTTCCTGCAGCTGACCAACTTTTTGGAGATGCAGATTTCATTTTCCAACAGGACTTGGCACCTGCACACAGTGCCAAAGCTACCAGTACCTGGTTGAAGGACCATGGTATCCCTGTTCTTAATTGGCCAGCAAACTCTCCTGACCTTAACCCCATAGAAAATCTATGGGGTATTGTGAAGAAGAAGATGCAATACACCAGACCCAACAATTCAGAAGAGCTAAAAGCCACTATTAGAGCAACCTGGGCTATCATAACACCTGAGCAGTGCCACAGACTGATCGACTCCATGCCACGCCGCATTGCTGCAGTAATACAGGCCAAAGGAGGCCCAACTAAATACTGAGTGCTGTACATGCTCATACTTTTCATGTTCATACTTTTCAGTTGGCCAACATTTCTATAAATCCTTTGTTTTTATTGGTCTTCAGTAATATTCTAATTTTCTGATATGATGAATTTGAGATTTTCATTTGTTGTCATTTGTAATCATCAAAATTAAACAAAATAAACATCTGAAATATATGAGTTTGTATGTAATGTATGAATATAATATACAAGTTTCACTTTTTAAATGGAATTACTGAAATCAATCTACTTTTTCATGATATTCTAATTTTATGACCAGCACCTGTATATGGGCTTCAAAAGTAAGTTTGGAGTCAATTTTTACATCAAGATTACTAACTGTTGATGAGAGCGGGATGTTAGTACCAGAAAATGAGATGCTGGTTATGGATAATAAGTTGGTTTAATGAGGAGTTCCAATCAGGATCGCTTTGGGTTTGGAGCTATTGAGTTGAAGAAAGTTTTGCTCCATCCATTCGTTTATGTCCTCCAGACAGGTGGTGAGTTTTGATAGGGATGGCTGTGAGGGTGGGGTGTCAGCTGTGACATTGACACAGAGCTGTATGTCATCAGCGTAGCAGTGGAATGAAATATTGTTTTATGCTGATGATTTGGCCAAGGAGGGTAAGGTAAAGGATGAAGAGGATGGGGCCAAGCGCTGACCCCTGGTGGACACCACACCTAACTGTGTGTGGACTTAATTTGGAGTGGCCTAGGGAGATACAGTATATTCTGTCCAGTTTTTGAGATATGATCTGAACCAACTGAGAGCAGTGTCATGTAGTCCAGTAGTGAGGTGGAGCCGGTTTAAGAGAATCCCATGGTCAACAGTATCAAATGCAGCAGAAAGGTCAAGGAGGATGAGGAGGGATGAAGACCGAGCATCAGATGATATGAAGAGGTTGTTTTTGACTCTGACTAGGGCTGTCTCTGTGCAGTGGGCAGAGTGGAAAACTGACGAGGATTTTTATAAAGAGGTTATTATGTTTGAGGTGGTCCTGAAGGTGATTGGCAACTGCTTTCTCAAGTACTTTTGATATGAAAGGGAGATTTGTGTAAGATGGGACTTCTGAATCCAGAGTGAGTTTTTAAGCAATGGTGTGATAATGGCTTTTGTTAAGACAGGTGAACATGACCGGATTGAACAGAGTTATTTATAAAAGCAAATCAGGGGGCTTAGGGCAGTGATATGGGATTTTACCAGGGCTGTTGCGAGAGGGTCCATGGGACAGGTGGAGAATTTCATCTTCCTGATGATGTTCTTCACGTCTTCTGATGAAATCTCAGGGAACTAGTTTAGGGGATTTGTCATGATGGGTTTCTAAGAGAGTAAGCCCAAGATGCAGAACACACACGGAGACACAGGGTAAAAAGTCCAAAAGAGTTTATTGTAGCACAAAACACATGAGTATGAAACCGGAACAGTTCTGGCGGGGGGCTGGTTCACTGGGGTCTGTGCAGGGAAAGGGAGATGGCTGGTAGTTGAGTTCAGGTTAGGCTAAGCATCTAGCTTTGGCTTAGCCTGGCAGTCCTGAGTTTTAGCTTCCAGCTTACTACAGAAAACAACAGGGGAAAACACGAGGGATCTTTCAGGCTGAGCTTCCTGCTCGCCGTAGGGAACAACAGGGGAAATCCACATGGGAACCTCTAGGGAAACTCCACAGAGAAGTCGTCAGGTTTCATCTACGTAGAAATCTTCGGGTTGGCAGATTAGCTGGTTAGGCTTTTCAAGAGCTTCAGGCTTGAGACTGGTTTCCCGAGATGCAGCTCCTCCAGAGCTGCAGACCATGAGACTGGGTTCCAGTGAGGGTGCTCTTCCTGAGCTTCACGAGGAGACAGGAGGTTAAGCTCATCCAGAGCTTCACGAAGAGACAGGAGGTTAAGCTCATCCAGAGCTTCACGAGGAGACAGGAGGTTAAGCTCATCCAGAACTTCACGAGGAGACAGGATTCCTGTGAGGCACAGATAAAGAGATATTAGGACCTGGTCTCGACCTAGGAACAACCAAGACTCAGTCAATAGCAGAAGGTTCAGGAAGCTAACCAACTAAGATCAACACTGCGGTGTGGAATCAAGGTCTGAAGGCAGCTTAAATACTGTGGTCCTCCTGATGAGTAGATCAGCCACAGGTGTGTGGGAGGCTCAGCTCAGGAGGACCCACGGCGCACTCTGCTGGAGGCAGAGGGTAATCTCCAGAACCTAAGAAAAGACAAGGAGCAGAAGAGGATCCTCGGCGCCCTCTGGTGGGCAAGCCTGAGGATCCCAACAGGATTGGAGATGGTATGAGTTGGGGGAACACTTTGGGTAGGAGGACCAGAGAGAACAGAGCGAACAAGTGCAGTTTTTGATGTGAAGATACAGTATATAGTGGAAAAAAGCTACTTGGAACTTCCTGGGTTGTTTCTGATGGCATCAGAATAAAACTGTGACCTTTCCTCTTTGAGGGACTGTGATAGCACTTTGCAACAGTCAGCAAGCATCCAAAGTGCTTAACAAAATGAGTAGAACCACAACGTATAACAGAAAGAATGAACATAGAAAACAGTAAAATCAAAAAAGATACAAAGAAACAAAAAAGGAAATTGTCACACCACTGTTACATATTAAAAGCCAGCCTGAACAGATATGTCTTGTGTTTGGACCTAAAAAGAGCAATATCTGTGGCAGCGCAAATATCCAGGGGTAACT